GGCCTGGAGGATTATCTGACTCATGTCCACTAACAACCTCAGACTCCACAGTAAACTGCAGTAAATATAACTCATGGTGTATCTCCACCATCCTGTCTCTTGGGATCTTAGTAGAGTCTCTCACAGCTACCTGGATTCTCACCCTCTCATAGAAGCTCCTGAAGATAGTGTGCCAATCCACATTAACAAGGACACCAAGCATACTAGATATTTGAGAGATAATGCTCCAGGATATCCACTTAGGAGGCAGTCCTTCAATCACAATCCAAGTTTCATCCACAGTGTCAAAGGCTGGCATTTCACCACTCCAGTCACTAAAAGATATAGTCACTCCTTCTTTCTTCAGGTTGACAGATGGGTATTCTACCAAATCTTTGATCTTCCTGTTAGGGGGAAACCTGACAATGAATTTTTTTCTCGTCATATCTTCTGATCTGCCAAGGCCAGTTAGTTTTCCATATATCAGAAAAACAAATACCCAGCTCTTTCTCAGTAATCTCTCCTTTTTCTATTAAAACAAGTCCAACATTCCCAAAATTCAGCCACTCACGGTCTTCCTTGCCACCAGTTTCAGTATGAAAGAAGCCTAGTCCATTGTTGGCACTCCCCTAGTACATGGCAGCAGGGTAGGGTTTGTACCAGGTGGGACATGCATCCATGTGATGGCCAGGGGTCTTGCAAATGAAACATAGCTTTGGGGTGGGACACATTCCCAGAAAGTGGCCTGGGAGACCACAATTGTAGCAAATCGCCCCAATGAACTTAGGATCCACATTAAAGGAGGAGGATTCATCACTAGCAGTAGTAGCAGTTGCATGCTTGTTCCTTTGGTTCTTCTTTTTCTTGTTCTTGCTGGAATCCTGGTGGCTATTCTGCACACTTCCTCCAGTAGATGACCCACTTCCTCCAAACTGGACCTGCTGCATCTGAGGGTTGAATTGCTGAGGGAAAACCTGAGTAGGGGGCAAATATTGTAAGGGGAACTGCTGCTGGTTCACTCATTATGGCATCTGTTGTATCTGCTGCATCTGGGGATTCCAGCCTCCCTGATATCCATACACATGCCCTCCTGCTCGCATCATAGCTTGAGCAGAACCAACTGGAAACAAGGGGCTTGGTGTAGATCGACATCGGCGGCGCGGCTTGAGGTGCCTGAGGAACAAGGGGGGGGGGGCGGAGCAGTCCCATCCTGCCCCGACGGAGTGGGAGCAAGAGGACGACCATTGCGGCCCCTTCCCGAACCATATCTCCCACCTCGGTTGCTAGCATCTCTTCCTCCTCCAGCCATCTTGACAATGGAAGCAAAAGGAATCTTGCCCGATTTCCTAGCCCAGAAGTCTCGAGAGAAGGAGAAGAATTTTGGAGCAGGCAGACGATCTGATTTACCGACTGGGTGGCAATCCGCTTCAGTGAAATCTCGTGAACTGAATTTGTCCTTCCTAACCCACACCAGGTTAGATCTGTTGAAGCTGCTAGGGGTTGGCCGAACCCTAACTTCTCCCCGACCCTGGCCCTCCTGGTGCGGATCCGGAAGGGAAGGCGCCTTTTGAAGAGGCGCCACCACTCCACCCGCTGGAGGTCTGGTGACGGGGCAAGCGGGGTTCGCTGATAGCTTCTCGTTGACCTGAAGGGCCCTCCTGGCAGTGACTCTTCGACCCGCGCTCCTCCTCACCGGTGAACAGAACAGCATCAACAGCGGCGAAGCTCGCCTACACCTGGCTCTTCCGCACATCGCAGGTGAGCCTGGAGGCATGAATGCTTGAGCTCCAGCAGAGCTCAATCTCGAATTGACGCCGGCGGCCAGGACGGGATGTTTTGCAGCGGCGCACCCGATGGTACCAGCCCCAGCAAGCCCTCCCATCTCAGCGCCCTGCGAGGATCTTCTGATTTCGCCTCCGCCTTCGCCCACTGCACGAACGCGGTCGACGTGGAGTCCGGGTAGCAGGCATCCTCAGCCTCTCCGCCGCCATAGCCTCGTCGTAGATCCGCTTCGCTAGGGCCCTCTGTTCTCCCTCTGCTCTCGAACGGCAGGCTTCTGCATACCTTGTTGCCGCGGCTCGCGTATCTGGATCTCTCGCCGCCGCCGCCGCCGCCTGATCCACCGCCTTCAATTCCTGAATCCGTCGGATCCACGCCGCAGCAGCGGCGCGAATCCTTGTCGCCCGTTCCACCCACCACCGATTCCCCGTCGCCATGAGTATCGCCTGCGGGAGCGGTGAAATCAGTCTCACCAACTCCCCGCGGGTTTCCTGGACTTGGGAAGGGCGAATGGGGGAAGGGGGAAGGGGAGGTGGAGCGCCCGCGGCCGCCAGATCCAGCCTTCTCCGTCGTGGAGGCATGTCGCGAGGTCGGCACGGCTAAATCTGCGGTGGGGGCAATGGCGAGCGGGAGGCGTGGAGTCGCCATGGTTGCGGAGCAGGGAGCGGGGAGCGAGAGGCGAGAGTAAAAATCTGCCGAACATTGACAGATTTTTCGATAGCATGCAAAGTTTTGTCACCTAATGTCATTCGTGAAAAACGTGAGAAAAGACAAAATCAATGCCGAGCTCACATTTTGAGCATCGATTTTGTTCTACTGTTCATCAAAGCTCACGTGAGCCCGAAATCAGAACACCCGCGTCCGGGCCGGCTAGCTAGTTGCTGTACGCATGACAAAACCGTGGGAGGCGGCGACAGGAGCGATCGACGCCGCGACAGCGCGAATGCCAGGTTGCCAACGTCAACTCTGTCGATCGATGGAGGCTCTGCACATACCTGCATGCCCTGGACTGGATGCATGCAGCACGCATGCATACAGGAGTATATACAGTGCGAAATATTCGATTCCGGCTGATGGAGTGCTCCGGACCGTACGTCCTAGCTACAGTTGGCCCCGCAGTATTTTCCGCGCGAGATCTCTGCGCCAGATCCGACCCCCTGACGACCGTGCCGTGTCCACGGTAATAATACTGTGCAGTGCATGCTGTCTCCGTGTCTCAGGGTGGCTAGCTGGATACGATCGATGGCTGTCACTCGGTTGGATCGAGTTCGAGCTTGCATTTCGATAATACTGTAGATGATACGCCGATGGATCCCGACAGCGCGGCCCACACCTCCAGCAGCAGCAGGTATATGATGATCAAGTGATCGATCCATGGACCCGAATCCGAATCTTCTCTTCCCGCGGCACACGCAGATTGCTCGACAGCCTAATCTGCCTAATTGTCTTTCTCTTCTCGGGCTTGTCTCTCTTCTCTGCTTCTACTATATCAATCAACGTTGGATTTTGTTGGTGATATTACTACGTGAAAACCAAGTTTCAGTGAAAACCAATGAAAACCACATGAAAATGATGCCTTGACATTTCAAAATTATCTCAAAATATATATATATGAGATGTTAAGAGCGTGATATTCTATTAGCATGTGAAATTCCCAAACCAAAATATTACCATTTACGAGGTACAAAATAACAAAATCAACATTGAATAGTGCCGAACAATAAATGACACTACTCACTGTCGAATTTGTTTTTCCATGGCTCGTAAATGATAATGTGTTTGAATTTGAAAATTTGTATGAAAATAGAACGTCTCCCTCTTAACATGCTGTATTTTCTTTAGATATTTTTTTTAACTTTTAAACGTGGTTTTCATGCAGTTTTCTTTGAAACTTGGTTTCCATGTATGTATATAGGATATTCTCTCTAATACTAGTTGCTGCTCTCCAAGGACTGATTGGCGGGGCCACTTGGCATATGTGGTGATCGATGTTAACTCAGATTCAAGAACCGACATGGACTTGGCCTGTTTGTGGATTTTGCTTTCGGAGTTTCTTGTTTATTTAATCCGTTGCTATACCGTATAGCATTCGACATGTCTGGGCTTATTGCGATAGTTTAATGAGATTTGCTTTGGTACACTCACCTTGAAAGGTTTGTAGTTCCGTTATGCAGATCAAAGGCTGAGATTAAAACTTGCCTCTTTTATAACCACACAACAGGTGTGGTCAGCTATTCCAAACTGAAATGGTTGGGCTTACCATCTAAAATAACATGACTCCCTCCGTTCCATAACAAGCATTATGGAATGGGGGAGTAGTGTTTTGTCAAAAATACAAAAATGGTGCTCTCTCAGACAAAAAGTGTTATCACTGCTCGCCGATCTTCTTTGATCAAGCATTGAAGCAAATTAGAATTGGCGACACAACTTAATTGAAGAAAAAAGTGTTACGGGCTATCCATTTGTTTGACCATTTTGGCTTTTGGGAACAACTCGATGAATTTAGTAGATCCTTTTAGGAGGTAAACTTTACTCTCGTGAGATCAGGGGGTAAGCGAATAAGGTAGCACACAAAGAGATAAGGTTGATGGTGTTTTATTTCACCATATTCCCCCCTTTTGCAAGCTCTGTTTCCTTGTATTAACATTTGTTAATCAATATGTACTCCCTTCATTTCATATTTCTTGTCGTGGTTTTACTTTAAAATTTAAATTAAAACATGGAATTTGAAACTAAAACCACAACAAAATATATGGAATGGAGGGAGTACTATTTAAATAGTGTGGTACGGTTTTAAAAAAGATGGCAGAACAACATACGAAAAATGCCTCCTATTTAAGAGTATTTGTACTCCCTTCGTCCCATAATTTAAGATGCTATTGCATCTCACATATTAGATATAATAGCATCTTATATTATGGGACAGAGGGAGTCCTATTTTAACAATACATTTCTATTGGCAATAGAATACCAACTTCCTCACACATCAGTTTGCTCGGAAAGAATGTCTTAGATAGTTGGGATAAAGTAGTTTGTGTTTTTTAGGGGAGAAATACTAATTTATGGGTTTTTTAGAATCCAAATACTAATTTATGTAGCAGTTGTTCTTTAGAATTTGTTTCTTGAGAGTCATCAGATTTTTTAGCTTTTTTTTTAGACAAATCAGATTTTTTTTAGCTGATGTGTGGTGCAAAGGGAGAGAGAATCCCTAAAAATGAAGGCCCAAAAGAATAAGACGGCCCATGAGAATCGAATCTAGGCCTGCAGCCGGAGTCGCCGCATCTGAAAATCTAGGCATGCATCTCGCCGCCGACTACCCCAACCGCGGCGGTGGCCGCCTCGGCCTAGGGCCATTCGCGGCTGCCGTGCTCCGCACCGATAACCGTCGCCGTGCGATTGCAGGCGGCGCGGTCCTCGCCTCGGCGCTGCTTCTCGTGGCCACACCACGCCTCCGCCACTCGCCGGCGCTCCACCTCTTCGCCGACATGCGCAACCTCCTCGGCGTGCCCAACACCCTCAACGTGCTCACCGCCTACCCGCTTCTCCTTGCTGGAGTACCAGGACTTATCCTTTGCCTCTTCGGCAGCGGATGCTTCGGCATAAGGTGAGCCATGCCCTTTCTCTTGCTCGCACGCCAGCTGTTTGGTGAAATGTCTAGCTTAAAGAACTAAAGAAGTGAATACATTTTATTTTTTCTTCACATGATATGCACCATTTGGAGGGTTTTGCTGTACTTGTTTCTAAAGAATGCGACGAATAATCAAATTGTCAAATTAGCAGTAACAGACCTTGAACAATATTATGAAGGAGGCACATCTTATCAATTATGCTTGAGAACCTTACAAGAGAGTTCTTAGTGTGTATACCTAGCAAGTAAGAACACATTATTAATGGATGCTGCGTGATCTAAATGACAGTATTGCTGAAAGGGATGGCCATGAACATGATTCACCATGGCCCCGATGAGGCTCCAGCTCCACTTATTGAGAATATGTGATGATGCTCTAATCAATGGGAATATTTCTTATCCAGTGGGAATTGAAATGTTTTGCTGTTATATGGGAAATTTACCATGTTTTCCTTCCTATTGCTAGATTTCTTGATGAAATGCATGAGCTTTGGGAATCCGCAGTCTTGCAACAGAGTAGAATAAATCAGTCAGTGGGATTTGAATGTGGGTGGTAGGCTAAACTGTTCAGTTAAGATGTGTGTGATATTCCTGTTTGCAGAAACCTGTTATTTAGTGCACAACTATTGTCCTGTGGCTTGCTGCCTAAACAATTTTGCTATCATTGTTAAAAGAACAGGCCGGAGTGAAATGATAGTGTGCTCCTTTCATTGTGTTAAGTTTCACAGAAGAAAAATTTGTAGCTGAGATTTGGCACTTCAAATAAAATTGTCTTCTTGTGTTCTGCTGAATATGTCAAATGAATTATACTGGTGTTTAATAAAACCTATGTTACTTTGTGGAAATTATGTAGCTTAAGGTGGGAGGCCTTGGGATGGTTCCTCTTCTATGCAGGGAATGTAGGGGCAGCATTTGGCTCAGCTTACTATCACCTCAAGCCAGATGATGACCGGTTAATTTGGGACAGGTTGCCGGTATTCTAAACATTTCTTCTTTCTGCCATCCTCCCCTCTGCAGTTTCCTAATTATTAGTTGGTCTTTTTGGTGTACTTAGGGAGTTTTTTGTTATTTTAACTTCTGATTTACATAGTTTGGACTCTGATGGTAAATTACTCTGTTAAAAATGCAGTTTGCCTACTTACATTTTAAATCCAAGCATTCACCATAGGCGAAAAATATCTGTATCTGGGTTTCCATGTGATTTTGATATGAAATATTATTGTGCTATGTATCTGATCTGAATATTCTTTTGCTGCATAAATCAATGTGATCAATGAGTTTTGACAAAGCTTTTGTTGAGACGAATGTTTACTGGATGCTCTCACAATGCAGATGATGATGTCGGCCTCCTCGCTTTTGTCGATATTGGTAATTGAAAGAGTTGATGAGAGGGCTGGATTATCTTGTTTGATCTCGCTCTTGTCTCTTTTATTGGTGAGCAGTGTGTGTGAAAGGTATGGACAAGTGCGCAGTTGTTGAGCTTCTTTATTCTAATATCGATGTCAAATAAATTCTGAAAATGTGTTATATGTAATGTGTTGTTCTGGCTTGTCTGGCTGCAGGATTCTTGATGATATGCGCCTGTGGGTAGTTTTAAACCTGGTTCCTTGTGTTGCAATTCCTGCACTGCTATTCTTGTTCCCGCCAAAGTATACACACTCAAGATTTTGGTTTCTTGCTACAGGTAAGGTAACAGCGAATTGATCTAATACATCTGAACTTGTTAACCTTAAAAAAAACTCTTATTTAATTGGTATCTCGGTGCAGGCTTTTACCTTCTGGCAAGATTTGAAGGCCTTGCCGACAGAAAGGTTTACAGTGTGAATAGATACTTCATTAGCGGCCATTCCTTGGAGCACCTTTGTTTCGCCATGGTTACATTGATACTTATTGTGATGCTATCCTTCAGAAATATTAAGATCACCAGGTACCAATCAACCGATGTTCGTCACATTTAGATTCTCTGAAGAGCTGCTTTCTTGAATCACTCTGGTCAGTTTGATTTGGTACTTCGTTAGGGTCTGTTACTCGTAAAGGTGGTTGGTCCTCTCCAAAGTAGATAGTAAAATGCTAGTAGTTGCTTAGTACCGATTGCCTCTGTAGTTCATTGCGCTTGACAAATCGTATGCACAAAACACAAGCTACAAGCTTTAGATTAATCTACCATTCTGTCTTCTTGACAGGGACTCGTGACTACAACTCCACCATTGCTTGTTTGTAATACATGGCAAATTTCCTCTCAGAATTTGTATGTTCGGAAGAGCCCCTCCAGACTCCGGAAGCACCTGAAGAAACGTAAATTGTTGATCTATGTATCCTATTTTCCCACTACCTGGGTGATTGGCGCCCTCCATCCCTAAGTGGCATAGATAAGTCCTGTGAGATTATTTCAAGTGTGTTCATGTGTGAGTTGTTTTTGTTTGGAGCTTGTTAACATTGGAGGACTACACTGCAATTTATACAGATCTCAGCTGTAACAAAACCATAGATTTGTTGCTCACCATAGCTTGCATCCGCTGATTGTTTGAGGTTTGTTCAGTTGATTTTCCTCGAGAAAAAAAGGATTGTTCAGTAGGACTGTACAAGTGTACATTTGTAGTGGGCTACTGGGTAACAACAACAAATCTTTGCTCTAGCTCCAGCAGCTGGAGCAGTATGCGGAGATGTTCTTTCTGCAGAGTCCATGTCACTTCGGTATGGTTTGATTCTAGCCCAGTCTGTTCAGTGTAACAAGCTTGTCACCAATTCCGACAATGTTGAGGTTATTGAGACAATGATCTGGAGGCACATCTTTGGCAGTACTCCCTCTGGTCCTTTTTACTCTGCACATTGGATTTGCCGAAAGTCAAACTTTGCTAAGTTTGACCAAATTTATATTAGAAATTATTAGCATCTATAATATCTCATAAATATGATATGAAAATATATTCCAAGATGAATCCGATGATATTGGTGTTGTTATGTGAATGTTTATAATTTTTTATATAAACTTGGTCAAAGTTGGATAAAATTAACTTCGGACAAACCTAATATGCAGAGTAAAAAGTACCAGAGGGAGTACTACCTGCAGCAATCTTCGACGACTGCTATCATCTCGCTTGTGAATCCCACAAACTTTTTTTTGAACATTATTATATACTCCCTTTGTTCATAAATATAAGATGTTTCGGAAATTTCAATATGGACTACATACGAACTAAAATGAGTGAACAAACACAGAAAACATGTTTATGTACATCTGATTCAAAAAAAGGTTAGAACATCTTATATTTGTGAACAGAGGGAGTAGAAGCTAATTCTACTGCGCATCAATTGGCTACAAGTCTGAATTGGCTAGAATGCGTCCTGATCATGGTGCAACAACTTCTTAGATGCCCTATGCACCTGGATGAAGGAAGTAGTTGGTTTAACAGGCTCCGGGTGAACTGATCCCTCTTATTAATCAAAGACGTTTGGCAGTTTAATTTGAACAACCAAAACGTCTTATATTTTGCAATAGAGGGTGTAACTTATCACAAGCTAATAAAAGGGGCGATGATGATAAAAAAAAAATCTTACCAAGTGGGCGTTATGCTACGCTGGCTGGTAGGACCCATTTGCCAGATGCACCGTCTCCTCCGAACAACCGCTTCTCGTGGATGCATCCGGCAGCGCCACCGCCTCCTCTCCGCCGTCGCTGGCGGCGACCAACCGATCCGCGACCTCCCGCCGACCACCTGCGCGGTCCCATGGAACCGCCTCCTCTGCGCCCACATCTGCCGCTCCCGTCCAGACCTTGCGCTCGCGCTCTACCGCCGCATGCGCGCGCTCTGCCCCGCGCTCCCTAACACCTACACGCTCCCCCTCGCCCTCCGCGCGGCGACCTCCCCACGAATCGCGTCCGCCATCCACGCACACGCCCTCCACCTTAGCTTGCATGCCCACCCGGACGTCGCCGGCCAGCTCCTCGCCGCCTACGCCAGGCACGGCCGCCCCGACGAGGCCCGCCACGTGTTCGACGCAATGCCGTCCAAGAGGACCACCATGTCCTGGAACACGCTCATCTCCGCTTATTCGGTCTGCTGCGACCCCGACAGTGCAATGGCCACGTTCGGGCGCATGGCCGCCGCCGCTGACGAGGCGCTCCCCGACGCCGTGACGTGGACGACGCTGCTCTCGGCGCACGCGAGGTGCGGCAAGCACCCGGTGGTTCTTGAACTGTTCGGAGACATGCACCGCAGCGGATGTGAAGGGAATGCCGAGTCCGTGGCCGTGGCGCTCTCGGCGTGCCCCTACGCCGGCGACCTCGCGTTGGGGAAAGGGAGGGCGATACATGGCTACGGCGTCGCAAAGGGCGTCGTCCGTGGCTACCTGTTCGTCACCAACTCGCTGGTGTGCATGTACGGCAAGCTGGGGAAGATGGACGACGCCCGGAAGGTTTTCGGGGAAGCTGGAGAGAAGAACACCGTGACATGGAACGCCCTCGTCACCAGCTACGCCGCGTCTGGGATGTGCGACGAAGCGTTGGACGTGCTCGTCCGGATGGAGCAGCGTGGCGGCATGGCTGCGCCCAATGTGGTGAGCTGGAGCGCTGTCATTGGCGGCTTCGCGTCGTCCGGTGACAATGAGCGCGCACTGGAGCTGTTCCGGCGGATGCAACGGCGATGGCTTTCGCCGAACGTGGTGACCTTAGCCACCGTTCTCTCAGCCTGCGCCGAGCTACTGGCGGTGCGGTTGGGTCGGGAGGTCCATGCCGGCGCGATCAGATCCATGCTCGACCGGCACTCGCTCGTCGCGAACGGGCTCATCAACATGTACGCCAAGTGCGGGAGAGTGGCCTACGCACGCACGGTGTTCGACGGTATGAAGAGCAGGGACCTGGTCTCCTGGAACTCCATGTTGGCCAGCTACGGGATGCACGGCCTGTGCGACGACGCCCTTGCAGTGTTCGCAGACATGGCCGAAGCTAAGGTCGATCCTGACGGCGTCACCTTCGTCGCCGTTCTGTCGGCGTGCAGCCACGCAGGGCGCGTGTCGGAGGGCCGCCGTCTGTTTGATCAGATGATACTGGAGCACAGGATTTCCCCATCCATGGAGCACTACACGTGCATGGTCGACCTCCTGGGCCGTGCCGGCTTGCTCAAGGACGCGTCTGAGCTCATCGAGACGATGCCGGTGGGAGCCGACCTGTGCGTGTGGGGAGCGCTGCTCAACTCGTGCAGGATCCATGGGGACGCAGCCATGGCCGAAGCCACCATCGCGAAGGTTCTGCAGGCCGGCGCGGAGACCACCGGCAACCACACGCTGATCACGAACCTGTACGCCGCGTGCGGGATGTGGGACGAGTCCAAGAGGGTGAGGGTGATGACGAGAGAGGCCGGCTTGAGGAAGAGCCCCGGGCAGAGCTGGATCGAGGTGAAGAACAAGGTGTTCGCCTTCGTGGCCGGCAGTGTGCCGCCGTCGATGCCCGGAGCTGAGGAGATCTTCAGGGTGCTCGACGATTTGTACAGCGAAATGGACGACGAGAGACACACCATGGAGCACGATCACCACATTGTAAGCGTTTGATAGAAGAGGAAGTGTTTGCGGATACACCTATCTCGTACAGCAGGCAAACAGAGTGAGCAAGTCTTTCAGAATGGTTCTTGTGAACCGAAGAAGAGCCTGAGGGTCCTGCAGATCTCGGCGGGCTCTGCCATGGCGCCGTTGCCGTAGTCCCCGCAGGCGAGCCGCTTGGTCACCGGAGGGATGAGGGAGACGCCGAGGCCGGCGGCGGCGTCGAGATGGCGGCTGGTGAAGGGGTTGTCCCACATGAAGGTGTTCATGGCTGGCGCGACGTAGATGGGCTTGCTGTAGTCCCACGCGCGCACCACGCACGTCAGGAGGTTGTCGCACAGCCCGCCAGCGATCTGAGCGCGGCAGATCGAGAGAAGAAAAAAAAATGGTCAAAGCAGGACAGCGACGAGACGCCCACGGTGTGTCCACGGTATTTTACAGTACCTACCTTGGCCAGGGTGTTGGCCGAGAGTGGCGCGATGAGCATGGCGTCGGCCCACTCGCACAGCTCGATGTGCAGGACCTCGTCGCCGATCCTCCCCCAGGCGGACCACTCGTCGGCGTCGGTGAGGAGGGCGACGCCGCTCGGGAACGACTCCCTGTCGATGAAGTGCAGGGACGAGGCCGTCGCCACCGCCCGGACGTCGGCCCACTCGGCGAGGCTCCGGCACAGGACCTCGAACTTGATCGCCGCCACGCTGCCGGAGGCGGCGACCAGGACGCGGGGCCTCCGAGGCTGAGTGGCGGCAGCGTCCGGCGTCACGCCCTGCGACGGCTGCTCTCGCGTGGCCATGGCCCTGGTGAAATTACTCTGATGGCTCTTCGTGTTGGATATGGAAAGGCAACTCTCTGAAATCACTAGGTGAAGGGAGGTAACAAGTACACTGTAACTGCGGCACTGAAACGAAATCTGTAGATCGCAAACTGAGGAGGGGGACAAGAAGGCCCGGAGTTAGCTGGAGAAACAAACAGCAGTAAATGGCGCCAGCGCCAGCGCCAGCGATCCAGAGCGCAGCAGCAGCAGCAGCAACAACAGGCACAGCATCACATCGAGCGGCATTCATCAGTCACCACCACCCAAGGACAACACATTTTCACTTGGATCTGCCCAGTTCAGATCTTATTGAAAGCCACGACTCAAGAGTTCAAGACACAGGAGGAGGATCCAGAGCTCGACGAGCACGATCACACCGCCAATGGTTTCAACACACACAAGTTCTCCAAGGGACAGATTCAGTTTCTAGTTGCTGCAGTCTAGACTGATGACCACGAAGATGACACAGTCGGTGCGATCGCCTTGTCTTCTGCCTCGCTGCCTACATGCTGTCCGAGATCGACCTCAGCTTCCCGTCACGGCGCCAGAAAGCGTCGTCCTTCTTCTCCACGGCCAGCAGGTCCTCGAAGGCGGTATCACGCACCCCTTTGGCGAAGGCTCCTTCGCGAATTCTCTTCTCCGCTTCATCGTTGCTCTCCTCCATCTGCCACGGTGAAAGGTTTGGTGTCAAAACACCTGGCAGTTCATATCACGGGGGCAAAGGTGTTTGCTTGTGAGCAGAACAGAAGATCGTTACCAGTTTGTAGCACGATGACAGCTGAAGCTGCTCATGGAGATTATGGTAAATGCTGGCATCTTTCTTTAGTCTTTCATATTCGAATTCCAATCTACTCACCTACAACAATGCCCAAGCTATTAAAAAGGCTGAAGTCGGCAAAACACTGCATGTCTGCATCTTCGAATGTTAACAGCATTTCTTAGTTGATGTCGGTATGGGATTTCTCTTCTCAAATGCCTCACCTGTTCACATAAGCGAAGGTGGTCATGTGAAGACCTACCGTTACGACTGTTGGATAACATGGCCTTCCTTATTGTGATGCTTCTTCGGGTGTTCTCAGACCTGAGATGCACAACACATTACTGAAAGTTTGTACAACATGTGGGGTAATGCATGTCTGAACTCTGAAGGGTAAAGCTGAATGCAAATAGTCACATACTTTTGTAGTAGTTCATCCCTCGCATCTACAAGAGTCTTAAGAAACTCATGGACCTGAAAAAACAAGGTAGAAGTACATGAAGGAATTGGTAAAAGGCACGAAGCCGTGAAGATAACAAAATATACTGTTTTCGGCTGCAAACTTGCAATGGACAAACCCTCCAATACAGGTATGATCCATGATGATCTAACCAAATAAAGGTAAATCTTTAATCATATAGCACTGAACACCTTAAATTCTCATTAAAAACACTAATTAGACGCACAGATTCTACTATGCCCCACTTAAACTGCACAATAACTCCACACCGGTGCACAATTTAGCTATGGAAGTTCACAGAACCACCAAAAATTTAGGTTCCTCTTTTAGAACGCACTCAAATCACACCAACCTCCACATTGAAATCAATTGAAGATGCAAAGCAGAACCGAAGAAAATAGTGTGCAACCTGGTGAAAGAATTCTTCAATACCACCAAAAACCCCAAACAACCGACGATACTCCTTAGTGATCCTTTGTTTCATTGGACCACTCAACCGGGGGAGGAGCAAGATGTTCGGTGTTGGCCCCTTTTCCTCCTCAACAGCCCCCAACTTATCTGTGCGATCCATGCCCTCCTGCTTCCTCCTCAGGTTTTTTCTCTTCTTCCTACTGCCACCAGCAAGTGGCAATGATGGTTGGGGTGATTCAGGTGGGACCTGACGGGACAGGATGGCACAAATAGCAAGGAGGACGAGATAGGAAACCCGCATGGTTGTAGATCTGTAGAAGAAGGTTTGCGACGATATCCTCGATCGCAAGAACATTATAAAGCTAGATCTAGATGTACTTTCTACACAAAAATGTCTTATTTTGTATTCTAGTGGGGGCCACGGGTTTTCACTTTGCTTGCAGCGTGTTTGCATAAGAGCTACTCTAACAGATGCCGCA